GACCGCTGCTCCAAAGGTTTCCTTAAACCAGCGGTCGCCAACCTTTCGGACCTCACGGACCACCTGTTGGCAACCGCTGCTTTATAGAATTTATTTAAAATGAAAGAAGATTGGTCTTTAAGCCTCCTATGTGGAAAATAAATATTCTCAAGTGTGTTTTCTTATATTTAAGAGTAGATATGTACATTAGTTATTAGGAAAATGCAGATCAATACTATATTAAGGTACCACTTCATACTCACTAATATGGCCGTTAATTCAAAGAAAGAAACAATTGTTGGTAAAGATGTGGAGAAATTATGCTGGTAGGAATATAAAACGGGGCAACCTTTTGGAAAAAACTTGGCATTTCCTCAAAAAATTAAAAGTATAATTACCATATGACCCAGCACTTCCTTTCCTGTATATGACCAAGAAAATAGAAAACATGTTCACAGAAAAGTTTGTACAGTATGTTCACAGCAGCATTATTTATAGTAGCCAGAACGTTGGAAACAACCCAGTGTTTGTTAGCTGATGAATGGATAAACAAAATTTGATGTCTATACAATGGCATATTATTCTGTCATAAAAAAGGATGATGTACTGATACATGCTAAAACAGGGATGCATCTTACAAGTATTATGTTGAGTGAAAAAAGTCAGCTACAAAAGGCTGTTGTATAATTCCATCAATATGAAATGTTTAGCCAGAGGCACATCCATACAGTCAGAATATAGAGTAGTGGTTGAAGGGAGGATATTTGATACTTGTGATGTTGCTCAACTTTGTAAATATACTAAAAACCATTGAATTGTGCACTCTAAAAGGGTGAATTTCATGGTATATGAATTATATTTTTTTAAATTAAAAATACTTTAAAAAGAATTATTATGACCTACATACTTGATTGAAGTGAATCTGCTTTAGGTTAAGCAGATTGGCAGCCTAAATTTTGCCAAAATGAGCTCTGTGTTTGCCATCTGTCAAGGTTTAAGCATGTTCTTATGTCCTTGAATGTCATGAAAATGTTTGGCAGTTTTCCATTCCCTTCAATTTTTTTATCTGGCTTTTAACCAGTTTCTCATTCAAATAAACCCCTAAAAACTATAGATGAAGAAAATACTGGGCAGACAGTTGTTTGTATAAAGGTTTTTGCAATTGAAATTGGATGGAATCCATCATGAGCTAATCCCTCAGGGTGAACTGCAAGGCCTCTTAAATGATATATTCTTAATATAAGAATCATTACAAATTTCCCCTTTAAAACCAGGAGTTATTGTTCACACTAGTTACCTTAAACCATTTTCAAATCCTTATTTGTTCATGTAGGTGGCAATTTTATGTCAGTTCCTCAGAGAAATTGACTACAAAACAGCCTTTAAATCACTGCAGGAACAAAACAGGTATGCATGATTTAAAAAAAAACAAAAAACGTTGCAATTTTTCTGCTTAAGAGGAAGTAACTGAATTCCGTCTTTTCAGTCATGATGCTATGGACTCCTACTATGACTACATATGGGATGTTACCATTTTGGAATACTTGACTTGTATCCTTTCCTCTAATATCACATGTGATATTAGTACACTTCATTTCTGTAAATTAAAGAAGTATTTAATAGTGTGTATCTTCTAAACCAAACCTAAAAAAGTTGAGATTCTGTTGTGGTTTTTAATAGTATTAGATTTATTATTCTTAACTGACTCATTTAGATCTTCATCACAAAAGAGGAGAAACAGATAAAAGACAAATTGCGGTAAGTTATTTTGTGTCTTGCTTCAATAATATACTTAAGAATTGTACCAACAAAAAGATTTTGTGTGCCTATTACTTCTAAAAGTTGATTATTAGTGTTTTTTTAAAAGATCCTATTTTGATCATGAGCTTTTGCATCTAGTTTATTTCATATTAAAATATTAGATCATGTCATCTCTCTACTCTAGACCTCTAAATGGTTTCTTATCTCACACATTGTTTAAGTCCATACAGTGGCCTATAAAGCCACATATGATTTGCCCATCTAACCCCCACCTTGCTATAACTTCTACTGTACCAGTAAGTAGTTTTATGTGTGTATATGTTAGGAAGACTTTATTTTTTACCAAACCTCTAATAACCTCACTTTTCTGTTTTGGAAGATCAAAGCCATTGGTCAGACAGAATTGAACGCAAGCAACCCAGAAGAAGTATTACAGCTGGCAGCGCAGAGGAGGAAAAAAAAGTTTCTACAAGCAATGGCAAAACTTTACTTTTGAGCAGTTAAAATTTTTTAACTTTTATTTTTTAAACAATAGGCTAAATATAAACAGTATTAAAAGATGAAGTTTATATATAATACATATATACACATTTAGTGGTGTTTTTTTTCCAGACAAAAATACTGAAACAATTTAAAAACAAACTATACAGAAGATTTCATGCCATAATAGCTTAAATTTATAATTTCTTCAGAGAAGAGATTCACATGTCTAGTAACAAACAATCTACTATAATTTTTTTCTAATTAAATCCACTTTAGATGCTGAAATTTCATTTTTTCAAAAACATTTATGTAGAATTAGTCTATATACCACCTTCTTATGTGAAGTTTACTTGTTTGTTTTTTAAATAAATAGATCACTAGGAATTGGTATACATTTAATACTTTTCTGCCTTAATAGAAGTCTAGGTCAGGTGTTAAGCTTGATCACTTTGACACTGTCCTTAACTCATGTAGGAATTTAAAAAGGACCTTAGCAGTTTTGCAAATGGAAATAAAGCCTTAGTCACACTAAATTAAAAAAAAAAAATCCTTAGGGATACCTTAGAGCAGCGGTCGCCAACCGGTGGCCCGTGAGGTCCAAGAGATTGGTGACCACTGCCTTAGAATAATAAAGTGTCTTTCTCATATAAATAGTTTGAAAGGGTACTTAAGTTTTTTCACTCAAATTGTGATGTACAAAAAAGTTACTATAAAGCAACCTGTATGTCGAAGCCCCAAGTAGAAGCCACAGCATTTACATTGTTTATAATTTCTTTGGTATTCCCACTGTTTAGAGCGCAGTTTTAAACACCATGTTCTTAGCCTTACTGGTTAAAAATGTTATGTATGGCAAGGCAAATAAACTAGTTAAAAAAACATTTTAAAGTTCACCATTTATAAAAATTCAAGTTTTATAATAGCTCGCTACAGCAGCTATAGATAAATTAGTCACCTTATTACAAAACTAAACCTTTGTAAACATAATTTTATTTTCAAGAACCAAATTGCACTAAGCAAGGATATATAAATTTTGAGAATCTAAAAACTAGATTCAAAGTACTGTATCACTTAATGTACTCTTTAAGGTAGCACTTACCTAGTCTAAGATTTTAATGATAAAATTCTCAGTCCATCAAAATAGTAACACTGGATCAGAAAAATTTTATGGCATAAATTGTGGCTGGCTTCTAGCCAGTCACCTTGGGAATTAACTTTTTGTAAACAAGGCCTGCTGTTTCTTTAAACAGCTGACAATGAAATACATTTCTTAGTGCCAATTTTACATAGTTTTTTAAGTCAAAGAATGGCATTGAAATTTCTGAATTGGCGAGGGTAGTCCTGGCACTATTTTCCTGTAAAACTTTAGTACATTTTAACACATTGTATGCGGGAAACGTATTTATACGTTTTACGTTGACTGTAAGTAGTAGAGCCACCTGTTACTACCCGCAAACAATTTAATGACATTTTACCCAAAACTCAGTGAATACTTGTCAGCTTAGTTATCTTCCTTAGTGTTTTCCTGATGGTTTTTCAGTGCTCTTCGGTGGTGTCATGATGCCTCCATTGCACACTGGTGACAGTTGTCCCCCATTCCTAAGGGTGTTTACGTAATTGACTTCCTCCTGCACATGTGAAGAAATGCAGAGATTAGCAGCTAAGGTAAAGTACTGACATAGTAAAATAAAGTCAAACCAGATTTCTGGATACTAAATTGAGGCTGCTTAGGCCTAATATAATGGTCTTTTTTTCCCTCCCGTTATGGAAAATATAGATACAAATAGATAATAGATGCAAAGAGGTATATATAAAGGAAATGAGCATGTCTTTTTAAATTTTAATTGTTTTATTTTTACTTTTAAAAAAGCTTTATTGTTGAAAGTATTACATATGACCCCCTTGCTCCCCACAGCAGGCCTTCACTACCCTATTGTCTGTGTCTATGGGTTATGCACATATGAGTTAATTGGTTCATCTCTTTCCCCCCACTCTCCCCTGCCTTCCCTCTGAGGTTTGATAGTCTGTTGGATGCTTCTATGTCTCTGGGTCTATTTACAATGGTGTATTTTATGTCTTTGCAATTTGGTCACAGTCTAAGGTTCAGCAATTTGAACTGCTGTAACTATTTTTTTAAACTCAAAGTAGACTATTGGCATTGATCTTAAGAAACTTCACAAATCTTGCTTTGACTTCAAAGTTACTAACTCTTCTACATTTTGAAATCACTGTGCCCATTAGAACTTTCTATTCCTTTATTCTGTATCATCCTTACTGTCATAGTTTTAGTGACTTACTAGATAATAAGACTAAAAAACCCCACGAGAAACATACCAGCATAGGCAGGTAATTTGTGTGTGTCTGGATATTGTGTCTGTCTTCCATAGAAATCTTGTTAAACATCTTCAGCTTCACTGGACTAGTACTTTTTACTACACTGGCAAAGGGCACCATCCACTCTACACATTCAGAAATGCTTTCCCATTCCAAACCTAGGAAGAGAAAAGTTAGCAAAATGTAAGGTTACATCAGAAAGTATCTAATATATGCCTAATGAATTTGTTCCTGCTTCCAAATTGAAGGATAGCTATATTAAAACTCATTTTAAAAAAGAAGCCAAAATCAGTAAGTTTTAGCAAGTCAAAGCAGATTATGACTCTCAAACTGTAAGTGACTATTTTGAGGAAAAAGACTTCAAGCTTCTTAACCAGTACCTTCTGCATAGGAAATTAAAATGACCAAAACCCAAAGAACTCTTAAAGCAGAACTATAATCATGATTAACTTCAAATGGATTTAAATTCTATTTGACCTTATTGTTGTTTGTGGATAGACACTGAGGATTAGAACTAGCAGAAAGGAAGGTAATCACTACACTGCTAAAATTTTTCCATTAAAATTTTAAGTTTCTGTTTAGCAGCATGCTAGAGTTCATAAATTAATAGTCTCTTTAAAAGTTGTGAACAGATAAGGTAAAATAATGACTTACCTGAGGCTTTCTTAACGACTTCAATAGAGGTAAAATGGCACAAGGCGGCAGCAGCCAGTACTCTGTACTGGAATTCTAATGAATCAATGGCTAGAATACACAGATCTAAAAGCTGACAAAGGAAAAAGCAAAAGTACAAAGTATTTAGGAGACATAAAATATCAAAACTCAGTAACACTGTTTTGAATACACAGTACCTATTTTACACACTATGAGAAGTAGACAGGAAGGAATGGTACCCTCCTTTAGTTACTTCGTTAGAACATCTCTTACATGCTGGTCTAGGAACATTTAGTTGGAACTTAAATTTTTAAAAAATGTAACTAAGGTGATTTTAATTCTAACATGTAAAATAGGTTCCCTGTGTATTCAAATATAAAAGATAATCATATAGAACAGTGGGTCTCAACCTTCCTAATGCTGCGACCCTTTAATACAGTTCATGTTGTGGTGACCCCCAACCATAAAATTATTTTCGTTGCTACTTCATAACTGTAATTTTGCTACTGTTGTGAATCGTAATGTAAATATCTGATATGCAGGATGTATTTTCTTTTTCTTTTTTTAAATATATTTTATTGACTTTTTACAGAGAGGAAGGGGGAGGGATAAGAGAGTTAGAAACATCGATCAGCTGCCTCCTGCACACTCCCCACTGGGGATGTGCCCGCAACCAAGGTACATGCCCTTGATGGGAATCGAACCTGGGACCCTTCAGTCCGCAGACCGATGCTCTATCCACTGAGCCAAACCGGTTAGGGCAGGATGTATTTTCATTGTTACAAATTGAACATAATTAAAGCATAGTGATTAATCACAAAAACAATATGTAATTATATATGTGTTTTCCGATGGTCTTAGGCAACCCCTGTGAAAGGGTCATTCGACCCCCAAAGAGGTCGCGACCCACAGGTTGAGAACCGCTTATATAGAATAATTTCATACATTATAAAGCCTGGAGACAACTGGCTTAAAAATACCATTCCCCATTTTATATAAAAAAGACATCTATTTTAGGCTCCTAAAGAATGAAAAGTATTCATATTTAAACTCATAGTTTACAAACTTGTTTTCTAGAATTATTAAGCAGCATAAATCCTGGGGACAGAATTTTATGCAACACAAGTTTTGTTCCAGTATGCTAAGGAGTGAATTTAATCCAGTATGCTGTCATTTGTTGGATAGCCTATTTATGACTATAAATACACGGAAGGCCCTGGCCGCTGGCTCTGCTGAAGTGTCATCCCAATGCGCCAGGGCTGTGCTGGTTCGATTCCTGGTTGGGGCACATGCAGGAGTCAACCCAGGGTGGAACAACTAATTGATGTTTCTCTCTTTCAAATCAATCAATTTTTTAAAAAGCTAAACAAAACCTGTAATTAACATTAGCATATATTCAATAACAATGTCAATACCTGAGCTATCTGAATGAACTTTTCCTGAGAATACTGAGGTAGAAGAACTTTAGGAGCATCTTTAAGAGCATCAACTTGAAGGAAGAGATTGAGCCAGGAGATGACTGTTACGGGACAAAGTTCCCATTTTAAAGCCTGTTAAATGAAATTAAAATGCCCGTTAATAAATGTAGGTACATAGATACCACATTGTATAGCTACTTTCTAAGATAGCCATTTAAGAAACTTTTATGTTTTTAGGTTCATTTTTTTCCTAGGAGTTTTATTATTCTGACCCCTTTTATTTTTATTCAAGATATTTATAGATACCTCACAATCTAAAGCTGCTTGTGTGTTGTAATCTATTATTGACATAGACTCTTTTATTCTCAGTTGTCTTTATTTACAAAGTTCATTCAGCCTATTTTTCATTACTGCTTTTCTCATTTCTTGTAGTCACTGGTCTTCCAAATTTGTTCTCTACTTCATTAAAACTACTCTTTTAATTGTATTCAGTGACTCCACAACGAATTCCATTTAGATCATCTAAGAATTGATTCTAGACTTCTTATTTCTGTAATCTCCAATGACATCTTTCCCTCCGTGAAGCCCTGAGACTTTACCATTTATAAGAAGTCCAAAATAATTAGGAGAAAGCAGAGGGCCTTAACACCTGTGGAACTGCCCAGAGAATGCCATCTTCCCTTTACATCCTCTTTGTACTACAAGTCTGAATCTGGATAATTTTATTATTAAAACAGTATCAACATGTCAACAAGATCCCATTCTAACAGAGCTACCCGAATGTTTAGCTTGTAAACATAACTTATGATAATTTGTAAATGAAAGTCATATTGATTAGGTTTTCTTGTATATCCTATTAATAAACCCATGATGTCCAAATTTAAAAACATACTTTCTAGTAGTTTATATTCACTCTTTAATCTCTCATTGAAGGCCTAATTAAATACTTTTATGCTTCTTTTCTCCATTTTTCTATTAATAGCCCTTTCTCTGCATATAGAAAAAAAGGCAGTGAAATAATTCTATTTTCTGTCTGCTGGAAGAAGGGGAAAATGACTAAGGTCTGGGAATCATTGTTGGAATTCATTTATATATGTTATATGCTAACTACTAACTATGTTTTGAAAATATCCATAATTACTTAAATTAAGAAAATAGTATATTCTCAATATAGAAACTTGAAAGATACAGAAAAATAAAAATGAATAGGTTAAGCAAATTCCTCTTTCATCCATAACATTGTCAATATTTTGCATTAGCCTCTTAGAACTGGATCCTAATACTAAAACCTCAGTTTTGATTACTTTCATTGTAGTATTTGAGATTCAATAGTAATTACTGTTATTAAATTGCAACTAGAATAATAAAAGATATAATTATTACCTTTAATATAATGAGTTCCATCCTTAAGATATCCTCTTCACTGCAAGCACCATCAGTGACATAAGCAAACTCTTGGAGCTTAGGAGCATAGATTTCCTTTAAAATGGATTTTAAAATTAGTGTTAAGCACAGTTGAGATTGAGGTAAGAACAAAAGAATTATATACAAACTACCTACCGGCTTCATTTTATATATATATATATAATAGATTTCAGAGAGGAAAGGAGATTGAGGGGGGGGGAGAGGAACATCAATGATGAGAATCGTCGATTGGCTGCCTCCTCCCACACTGGGGATTGAGCCCGCAACCCAGGCATGTGCCCTTGACCAGAATCGAACCTGGGACCCTTCAGTTCATAGGCCGACACTATTCACTGAGCCAAGCCGGCTAGAGCCAGGCTTCACTTTTAAGGACAGGTTCACAAAGGAAAATAAATCTTAGTAAAATAATTCTACAATAGCCAAAGCAACCGTACATTTAAAGGTATCTTTCATATCTAGGTCTAAATTAGCCAACTATATTAAATGAGACTTATTTTCATGGAATTGATCTTGAATTGCAGTTAATAAACATCAGTATTTTAAACAGTCATTTCAGTTAAAACACAAAAAGCCACTCTTGTTTTAAGATTGCCTACTACATTGGTCAGAATAAAACAAAACACTTAACCAGTGAGTTCTAGAAACTGAAAACATCTCCTTTACACTAATACAAAAGGATGGTTTGTGTAGTTTGGCTGATGACAGGTCTGCTTTAACAGTCCAGAGAACTAGGATGGTCAAATGAGCAGAAAAGATGCCTGCCACAGATGAGAACAGGCTAAATATGAAGATTTCAGTCTAGAAAGATATCTGAAACAAAGTATTTCAGTTCAGAATCGACTGAATACAAACTTAGTCACCAAATTTGGCAGAATCTGGAGATATCTCTTAAAGCTCAAAAGGCAAATTTGGAAGAAAAAAATACACTTATGGAAATCAATGCATGATTTAGTCCTCCAAACACAGGCTTCAAAGATTTCAGATGAAGGTACTAATGATATTCATATTCATATTGAGATTGTGTGAAGGAAAATCTCAAGCAGGAAAGGAGTTGCCTTCTATCCTGGCACCACCATCAGATACAAAAATATTATTTTAACCCAAAAAAGCATTCCATTTGATTGGTTAATCAGTTTTCAAAGACCATTCTATTGGGTCCAAGTGCCATAATTCTGTATATAGGGACAGCATCAGTGTATTCTGTTTGGCCGAATGAGCCATGGAACATTTGACCTAGATACTAATTCCAGAATTTAAACCGGAAACTTATAATAGGCTTGGATACTAAAAGGGAACTATAATATTTATCTAAATCATGATGTTCAGAAAATATGGAAAAACCCACTCATCTTCCCTAAGGAGTTAATATCAAAGTAGTAGTGTTTCTGGAATTGATGTGTTGATTTTAAAACCTGGGTCGGTAAATATGTCTCTGAATAAACTTTGAGAACTTACCTCAAGTTTGGAAGCAATGAATAATGAGGTAATTCCGATGAGTTGGAGCATATTTTTATTTATATCCTTTTGTGTCAACATAAATCTATCAAAAAAGTCTTGCGCAAGGTAAAATGTTTCCCTATGCAGTGTGTATACTTCACATACCTAGACAAGAACCCCAAGGTTTAAATATTACTCCATGAATTTCTCCAAATTAGAAAGTTGTCTTAGCATACCTTACAATACTTTTATAAACCCAACTTTGATTTTTAGGATACCAAAGTTAAGATTGGGGAGAAAAATAACATGCAGTGATAGGATAAACAAATCTGTTGTCTGCATTTACTCGTATTTTATAGTTTTTTTTTTTCATACGGACTTAAAAAATGTATTTATTCCCAGATACATTTTATTTTTACTATGAATGAGAACTTTTTTCTATTAATTTCCTAATTGTTTATTGCTGACAGATAGGTAAATTTTCATGCTTAGTTTATATTCTTATCCTAATAGTTCCAACTGATTCTCTTCTCACTTTAGATTAAATGACAATGGTGTTCCTTTCAATGTTTTTATGTCATTTATTTTTCATGTGTTACTGTACTGGCTAAAATTGTAGAAGAAAACTGAATGAATAACATTGGTGATAAACTCTTATATCATATAGCTTGTTTAGACGAGATCGGGCGCGTTCAGGGTGGTATGGCCGTAGACCATATAGCTTGTTTAGGACTGTAATGGGAATTCCCCCGTTTCATTATCGTTGTTAATAATAGTATCTGTCGTTTGCACATTTATCAGAGGGGAAGCTTTTAATTCCCAAACTCCATGATGTAGGGGCCGTTACCCCCATTTTGAAGATAAGAAAACAGAGGGATAGAGGTTCTGATAAACTGTGTTAAGGAAATTTATTACTGGTTTACTACATGTCTTAAAATCAGATATGGATACTGAATTTCAAAAAATATCTTCCACATATAGTGAGATCTTATGATTTAAACTAGGTAATAAATAGGTTAAGGTAATAAATAGCTTTTTAAATGCTGAAACATCTTTCAAATAATGAAAGGATATAAGGTTGGGCAAAAGTAGGTTTACAGTTGTGACTATTCAATAGTTTATTATTTTCCATATGAACAACTCTAAACCTACTTTTGCCCCACCCTGTATACTAAGACAAAGTAGAATTAACACTGTTGGATTTGTCTTAATATATTCTGTACAGTTTTGCATACATAATCATATATTTAAGGGAAAACAGGAATACATTTGATAATCACTAGATAAAAATCAATGAAATGTAAAAAAGAAAATAAAGCAAACCCAACATAATTGTGCTTAAATTGCTTTCATGATCACAAGACACTTAGAAAAAATAAAAACCCAACCACCTTATAACCACATGATTAAAATACAATCTTCCTTTCTAGTCAGAATAAGGAATTAAGATAACTTGACTCGAACATTTTGTAGTCTTAAAGACTTTTCTGAATAGCTTCTGGCAGATCTACTCTGCCAAGTGCTACTCCACCAAAAAGGCTATAGTTTTCTCCCTTAGAATATATCATTTCTATCTACTTTAATAGGGAAGCTACAGAGCAATAATCAGTTTGTCTTCAATGTAAGTAATCATTTCCTCAGTAGTAGCGAGTGGGCTTAAACAGTTCCGGCACACATCTGTAGGGGCTTCAGGATCACTCATTCCTTTAGGTTAAAGGCACAACACTGCACAGCAGAATTCAAAACCTTGTCAACTATATATTCTATTCATCTTGAATACCCTCAGCACCTTGAACGGCGTCCGGTACACAGCAATACCCTGATATCAAGAATTCTGAATTGGGTTTGGGTTGTGTGAGATGTAGTGGCTGTGTCCTCATGATCTTACTCTTACAGACATTTTCCATTTCGGTACTATCAACTACAGTAAGTACCCCCAAACAAGGTGGCTGCTGGCAATGGATAATACACCATGAGGGCACATGAAAAGCACATTTACATCTATTTTCCATCATAAAGAGAAGGGAAATTTGTATTGCTGGAACATACCTCTAAAAGCCAGTCTAGAAGTATTGACCTCATTTGTGGTTCCAAGTCAGAATGCAGAACTTCAAAATGTTTGTCATGTACATATCGGGTCTCTTTCTTTAACATGTTTAGCCAAACATCATTTGAACATCCCCAGCTATGGAAAAAGGGTAAAAAGAAATAATTGTGTGGTTTACATAATATACAAGTTATGTTTTACATAGGAAAAAATTCAACTTTAAGACACTGAAATCCAACTTTCAATTTAGAACTTGATAGGAGCTACTCTTAAGGTAGTATCTACCTTTTAGCATGAAAAAGTAGAAACCTGAAATTATACAGCAAAAACCTGGATTATGATAATCTAAATTGATGGGAACAAAAAAACATTCTTTTGAAATCTATTATAATATTCCTGTTTAAGATAGCCATGTTCTCTCAAGAGCAATACTAAAAAGGAAAATATTTAAAGCTTATGATCCCAGTAGAGACAAGTGTCAACCACCTCCAACTAGTTCACCAATAGTAGAGTCACCTACAGTGACTCTAAATTACTAGAGGTTTTGTATAAGCTGTACTTACTAGTCCTGTTCATTAACTAGAAAAAAATATAGACCTTACTAAGCTTGGTAAGAAATAGATGGGATTGATATATCAAATGATACATGTTAAAATGTTTCCATCTTAACAATTTAGATAAATTCTTTAAACTCCATTAAGAAGGTAATTCGGTTCTGATAAGGCTTACAGTACTCAGCAAGCAAATGAAAATAACTATAGAATCAATGTTTAAAATTCCTCTATCATTTGCAAATAGCACTAGTCAGATTATATATGCGTAAGTATCAGTAAAGAAAGCAATTTTTTACAAGTTTTTCTATCTTATAATGAAGGCAAAAAATAAAGTAATGCCATTTATGAAATCAGAATAATTTTAATCTCTGATATTAAATTACTGAAAATTTTCTTACCTTAAATCTGGCAAAGGTGAAGGATTAATAAAAAGATTTTTAAATCTGTAGTTTGTAAATCTGGAGAAGTCGCTTGTTTCTATTTCTTTGTGGGGTGTTTCAATGATAATGCAAGGACTGATCCCCCCAGATAATGCAGGTGGCCAACAGTTCTGTCATTTAAAAGAAAAAAAGAATATCTGTGCAATAGGAAACCAGCTTTTATCTGAGATCTTTCATAAATGGAAGCTAGTATTTCTAAACAGTCTACAGTTTCCCCCAAACACCACTGCTAGCTAACATGCTGACAATGTCGTTTAGTAAGTTGGCAGTTCTATTTATATTTTATAAATAAGTCGTATAGCTCATCAATTTTCATAAAGAGTAACTGGTAGGCTGTTTTAGACAACAAAATACAATTCTGGAAATACAAGACATTACGTATTGGGGGAATGGAGGAATAACAATGCATCTGTAGTCAGATACTAATAACTTACAGATTGGTAAAACTGCTCCATTATTTATCAATAGTGGCAAGGGCACCTTGTTTTATAAAAAGCTTCCCCA